CGAAGCCATTCGCGGCTTAGCTGCCCCTGCCACTGACCGTGAAACTGATTTGAACGCCGGTTGACTGCCTGCTGCTGCTGTGCCCAGCTTGTCCTGACTCACTCGTGGCAGGGGGACGGCGGGGAGGGAGCAGGCGGGAGAAGCCTTTTTCTTTTTTGTTTTAGGCACTCCCAGTGATAGCGCTCTTCTCTTTGGAGCAGGTAATTGCTCCTGGGGTGAAGTTTGCACAGGCTGAAGAGCCTTATCGCACACAAGTAACTTGAGATGGAGATCCCTGTCTCTACGCGCTCGAGGGGTTAATTTCAAACAATGAGCGCATTTTGGGGTACATGAGTTTCTCCCAAACAATGGACATAGACTGCATGCCCATCTGAGGCTGGCATAGCCTCTTTGCACTTGGAACACCGTTTGAATCCCGGTGTCCCAGGCATGATGAAACTGACTAGAGAAACTGCCGAGCTGGCAGAAATTGACTAGAATGATGTCTCTTTTTTTTCTTTCAAAACTAATTAATTAATAGGAAACTAACTACTGAACAAAGATTAACAATTTTAAAATTTTTTCTGACAGGATTTGTTCTGCGTCTGAGGAGATCGCAAAGCTCCACCAGCAACCTAGAACAGTTGAGAGGAACTGGCCGGGGGTCCGGTTTGCGCTCGAGATCAAAGGCGCGAAAGCCGCGCGCTGCAGGGGGCATGCGCAGACCAGCCGAAGATGGCTCTGAAATCTTCCGACCAGCGGCGCAGGGATGGACCTGACACCTAGAGTGGAGCACCCACAAGGCCACTCAAAGAAACCATAGATATATAAAAAACCTTGTAAGCCTCTCTGCCCCATTTGAGGAATATCTGGTAATTTAATGAATAGTCCTCAATCTGACAACTAAGGACATGTCACATATTGCTCCAGATGAAAAAATTCTATAAGACGACATGCAGGTTACCTTGTTATAGTTAACACAAATCAATGAATACCTCAACCAGGCTCAGACATGTTGCAGCAGATTGATAGGATGCAAGAACTGATTTTATACCTAGAAGTAAGAAAAGTGGCTATGAATTGCTCATACTACTGGTTTGAACCACCACAATGCATATAGGTGCTACCTAAGCTTCTTCTCACATCACTGCCAACGTATCACAAATGGACTAGTCATTCCTGCATATACTAGGCAAGTTCTCACGTATACTCTATTATGAATAGATATTTTTAATATGGTCAAACAACTACTCAATCCAGCAGCTCTCATTCACTTGTCACGTAGATGCCAGAGGTACACTGATATCTTTGAAAGTAGAGAGATAATACATTAAACCATTGAATTGGACTAATTAAAAGATGAACAGAAGACAGTGCGCATTACATTTTTTCAGAAATCCTTTCAAACGTGTAAAAGCATCAGCTAAACAAGATGAGCCTAAAATTTTCAGACTTGGCTAAGTGTAAAGCCATCTTATCTATGGTCCTAATAAATGCCCCAACTGAAGCACTGAAAGTAGGAACACTCACTTAAATTGTAAGCTTTTTAGGGTTGAGACTGTCTATGTACAGTGCCTAGCACAATGGGATCCTTGCTCAAGATTGGATTTCCTAGGTGTTACTGTAATATAAAAACTTGTTTTTATTAACTGGTAGCTCCTACTTCATATAGAAGTTTTAGGTTTCTTGCCTTCCCCCTCTCCCAACTTTTAATGCTGCACATCCAACACCATCCCAAGGACAGGGTAAAAGTTAATTTCAGGTAAACTATAAGCATGTTTTAAAAAGTAGCTGTACTTCTTCAAAAACCATTTCCAACCTCTGCTCAGGCATTTGATTACAAAATCATTCCAAGCATGATCATCAAAAAGTGCTTAGAAAGAAACAAGCTTTTCTTCTCCCTTTTCTACTCTAACCATTTTTGCTCTGCTTTGCTTTATTTAACTGTGTTTAGCTAGAAGTTACAATTATATCACTGCACAGAACAGACTAACGTGAAGGCAGCACTTGCTCAATTCTACAACATTCCCTTCTGTGACACACCCAACAACTGATGACAGTGCAAAGACCCAAGCTGTAGAACAGAAAAATGCAATACTGAAAAATACTTATCAATACTGTAACAAAATGAAAACAGATCTAAGATTAAACACATGAAATGTGTGAAGTAACCAAATTGCAAGATGTTAAAAGTTTATCAACTTTAAGAGGATCCCATTTTTGTAGGGTTGTTTTAAACCTATTAGGGGTTAAAAGCAGAAACCAGGATTACTAATAAAATTGAATGGCATGGGGTTTGTTCGATTTTTCTTTTAGTTTATACTATGCATTTGAAAGCATTTTATATCCAGACACTTCCAGTTTCCACTCAGCCCCCAGCTAGACTACAAAAAAAGGTGGTTTTTTTTAATTAAGTTAACCCAGCTTTATTTGAAAAACCACTTAGCAGCATTACATGGAGATGCAGCTAAATATCTTTAAAACAGAATTAAATACTGATACTGAAGGTCTATCCTAGCCAGGAGCACTGGGGCTTGACTACCTTGGGAAATTTTCCACTATTAAGTGGTAATATTCTGGTATGTATATACTATACTAGCATAATTATGCTGCTGTAGTTATTAATTTAACTCCCCATGGAATTATGTAGAGGAGTCTTTAGGACATAATTTAAAAGAAATGAAATACATCTGCACTAAGTGCTAAGTGATGTTTCAAACAAGAGTAACCAAAACATTGTTACTTAATCTATACAAGACCTTTGTATTGGTGCTTCACACATCACACCGAAGAACAAAAATAAGAAAATGGATTGTAAAAGACTACCCCGGTAGAGTGAATCTATAGCAGTTGCTATATTGGAAACTAATTTTTAAGCTTTTAAAATGGATTAAATCTCAAAATGATAGTATCCTTCTAAACTAAAGTCTTACAGCTGTTTGATGATTAAGTTTTTCAAACTTGTGATTACAGTTTAGAAACACAGACCTGCCAAAAATGTGACTTCTCAGCTAACTACTCTCCTCACTTGAGCATATTAAATCCATAATTCATTATTAAAAATTAGTCTACTCTCAAAATAAACTATGTTATTGTCTTCTATATGCACTGATAAGTTTACAAGTAAACTCAACAGAATGTATTGTTCATGGCAAATGCAGAAATGTCTGGATTCTTAGATTTCAACTTAAAATGAAGGAGGTCAGAAGAATCATTTTGACTTCTCAACTAAGCAAACTGAATACAGACATTAATACATAATTATGGCATGCACACACTGTCACTTTTACAGTTCAACATAACCATGCAATAAAGGTTAAATTCTGTTCTCAACCTGCCCTCTTACACTTATGCATTGAAAGGGAAAAGTGATTTGACCTACTATATGCACTGCAATGCTCTGACAGAGGATTAAAGATGCAATTTCACAATATTCTAAGCTTAATGTTTTGTTAAATGTTTGTTAATATTTGAATGGTATTTTTTGCATGCTGTACCAAGTTTAGGAGTGTCCCATATTAAAAGAGGATTGTGAACTACTCAGCTTGTACTGTAGATTCAGAAACTGTACAAGTTTTGGAATGGAGACTATAGCTTGGGACACTTGGTGGAAAAGGAATACAGTTTAAAAAAAAAAAAACCAGCACCACTAAATTAGGGTCTCCAAATCTCAGTTTGGTATGGATCCAAGATTAGTGCAGCTACCGTGACATTCAGACTATGTAGAAGCTCTTCTTTTTGCAGTGTCTCATTCACTAAAACCAAGTCATCTCTATATTTTCAGTTCAAAGGCTTTAACATGCCTTCCACTCTTGACAAGTGACATTAACTGATAATTCAGTGCTATTGTAGCAATGCTGGTCCCAGGATACTAGGAAGTAATATATGTAATTGGCCTAACTTCTGTTGGGCTGAGAAAGAAGCTTTCAAGCTTCAGAATACATTTGTGACTTACATGTAATTCAATGGTTTTACCTAACTGCAAGACCTGAAAGTTCAAGTGGGTTTTTTTTGGCAGCCGAATCACAGGCAAACCTTCTATAATTGAAGTGCTTCCAGGGAAGGAAGACTTGCCAGTGGTTGGAATGCTAGTCCAGGACTTGGGAAACGTATGTTAAATTTTCTGCTCAGGTCTTTGGACAAGTCACTTGCTTCTCTGTATTTCAGGCTCCCCATCTGAAAAATGGGGTGAACTGCACTTCTTTACCTCACAGGAGTGTTATAAGAACAAATACATAAATGATTATGAGGCACTCAGAGGGATAGCAGAATTTAGCTCAGTCTCACATACCAGCATGAGTTTTGCAGTGCTAAAGAGAATAAAATTTGTCAGTATAAATCTAAGATGTGGCTCTGCTTAAGGACAGAAAGCAGAATTGTACATGAAAAGGTGCCACTTTACAATATCTACTCCCACACCCCATTCTCTAAATAGTAATATTTAGGGAAAATATACCATGAAAGCCCAAACAAACCTCCACCTTTAAAGCTCAACTACCCAAATATCACACCTTCAATTACCAACCACTGTTTCTTTATTAAGAAAAAAGTTTGTCAAAGTAATTGCCGTCACTTTATACATTCTATGCTCACTCTCTGAGAACCTGTTAAGAACATCCTGTTCTTTAATGCCTTTAAGAATCATTTACCAACGTGGATAAGATGAATCACTGGTGAGATCTGCACTGGTAACTGTGGCAACCTACCATGGGAAGAAGACGGATACCTTTTAAAATTAAAAGCAAGCAACCTTTTTCATTAAGCCACAGAAATCTACTTGCTTGAGGCAGAGATCATGCCAATACAATAACTATGCAATTCTTCCTCTATATGCAGCGTTCTTTCCTGCCATGACCGTTTCACAAAATGAAGTGTGGGTTCTGTGTGAGAAACGAAATCCATAGGATAACAGTCATTCTCCTTACATGAGAGTAAAGCCAGTTTTACTTTCCATGCTGAAAACTGTTCATGTTAAAATGAAAGACAGCATGAGGTATTTGTTTTCATGAAAATGTCCCACTGCTAATGCACCTGCTTCCCCCCCATACACACACTTCTTAAGAACTATATGCAGTCCTATGCATTAGAAATCAGTGCAGGGCTTCTTCTTACATCTAGAAGTGAAGCTTACAAGCAGCATTTGGAGAAATTCAGAATATAATATTTGCACAGCTCCGAAACAAGAAGTGGTCCATCTCTCCTAACAAATCCAGCAGTCATGGAAGCAACTTCCTTTTTCCTATCTGAAAAAGGACATTCAAATTCCATTTTGTTGCTATGAGGTGAAGTAGCAATACACCATGGGCTATGTACAGTAGGAGTTACTGTTCTCTAAAAGCTTCAGTAGATTGCCCGAGGATTCTTGGTGCTATAGTAAGCCTCACATGCAGCTACATAAGCAGACTCTGGGAAGAAGTCATCATGGTATTCTGCGAGAAACCTGACAAGAAAGCACACAATAGATTGAAATCAGACAAAGAATAAAAAGGCTTAGTTTAAAGATACAGTAAAAACAAGCTGTGCAATTCCCAAAGCATTTAAGCTTAGCAAACCATATGCTTATGTATTCAGTCCTGCATGCACAAGTTTCCAAGTGTAAAAGGTGCTAAAGTCTTACACACAGTGAAGAACATAGCCTTTCCCTTCATACTTTAAAATCTAAAGGAGATGGAAGGAGAGTGCGTCAACAACAACAACAACAAAAAAAGGCTGGGATATTTATGGGCTACATACGGAAAATTTCAGTGAGAAAAAAAGTTACAGGAAATAAGCATACAAAAAAGGAAATACCGCAGCAATGTTTTTGCATCTTCACCTGCAAGATACACTACCCATGCCTAGTGTGTACTTTCATTCTTATTTATTTAAAACTGAATATGTAGTTCTACACAGATAGCTTCTATTGGAGATCCAATAAAAAGCTAACAATCTACTTACTCTTGAAAAACTTAAACAACAAAAGGTCTGGTGAAAGTAACTACAATCCGATTTTCTGTCCTCCTGCGAGGAGCAGTGCCCTCCTTTTATAGATTCTTAATTCACACACACTGTCCCACCAATCCCACACGGGACTTGATTTTAGGTCAGGCGACACAAGCAGGGTGCCAGGCTCCAGAGGTGTTGCTTTTGTTGTTAGCAACAAAAGGGAAAATAAAATATTTGAAATAAAACGTTTCAAATATTCTATATGTAAATGAGTGAAAAATTAACCTGCTACACTGTTCTGGACCTTTGCAGAAGGTCATGGAACCTAGCTGACTTTGAGAACTACAATTTCCTTAAATCTCCTAAATATTGGCAGCCATGCCCCTCATGAGTATACAAGGGGTAAGGATTCTCCAGTCAGTCAGTAAAATATAAAGAACAAACTGAAGTAAAGTTGTTGCTAATTGTTTTGTTTTTAATCAAAACTTAATATGGATGTTTTTCTTCTGAATGAGGGTAAGAGATTAGCATAGAGCCCTGACTCCAGCAGCCACAGCGTAGGGCGCAGTGGCCCCTCTCTGCAGCTGGCTGCAGATGTGGGATGGGGTCTCAGCTGCAGCCCTTGCCAAATTCCAATGGGAGCCCTGGAAAGCCATGAAGGGGGATATGCAGCCCCACTGGAGCCTCTGGGCAAGCAGCCCCCAGTGGAAACTCCATGGCTGCGGCACAGGTCCCCACCTGCAGTCCAGCCCTGCTGCAGCCTCTGGCCGAAGTAGCAGCAGGAGAGGGTATGCAACCCCCACTGGGATAAGAGTGTATTACAGCTGGAGATGCTGCAGCCTCTGGCCGAAGTAGCAGAAGGAGAGGGTATGCAATCCCCACTGGGATAAGAGTGCATGACAGCTGGAGGGAGAGGGAGGGGAAACTGGTGTCCAGACAACTCTGTGACTCTACAATGGAATGCACAGCTTCTACTGCAGCCCCCACCATGAGCTGGAGCACGTGGCCCTGGCAGAAGCCACAGGACCAGGACATGCAGCCCCAGTCACAAGGCAGGCCTGGCAGAAACTGCAGGGCTGGAACACAGATGAAGAGCACAGCCAAAGGGAGTACAAAGCCCCCATTCTGGAGCTGGGCACAACTGCTAGACCGAGGTGCACAGTAGGGATGTTAAACTGCAAGTAATTGACTAATCAAATAGTTGATGAATTTTGTATCAACCATTCAATTAGTTGATAGGGCACCTCCACCTCTGAAGTGTAGCAACAGCCTAAGGGCTGTTGCTACGCTTCAAAAGCAAAAGTGCTGCGTGAAGCCCAGCCCACTGAACCCAGGCTCCATGTGGTGCTGCTGTTTTGCAATACTGCAGGGTGCCCAGCGTTAGGCTCCTCGCTGCATTTCAAAGCGGCAGCACCCCATTGTAATCTAGACATACCCCAGCTGGCCCTGGGCTGCAAGTGGCATTTCAAAGCAGCAGCGCTGTATGGAACCTGGGGTCTGGGCCCAGGCTCCAGGCGGTGCTGACACGCTGAAATACCCTCTCCTCTCCATGCACTGCCGCTTTCTGATCGAGGCAGCAAGGGGGAGGAAGCGACTAGTTGACTAGCCCTGTTGCAAATGCTTATTGGATAGTCGATTAGTCCTTCACATCCCTAGCGCACAGCCTGGCTTCAAGTCCCCCAGCCACAGTGCAGGGGCTGCTGGCCATCCAGGTTCCAGCCATCCAGACCCAGTCGAAGGGCACGGCGTAGAGTCCAGCCCTGACTTCAGATGCTAACAGCTGAAGAAGACATAGCAATCTAGTTAAGTTGCAAAAAGCATGACTGTCATGACCTCTGTGACTACAGACAACTTTATATGTAATGTACCCCTCCCAAAAAAAAACCCACCCTGTACATTTCTTCAGTTTTATTTCTCACTACACTCCTTTAAATATTTATTTTGCTCTTGTATATAGAACAAAATAAAGCAGCAAAGAACACTGAAAAAGAAGATTCTACACATAAGACAATCAAAATTTAAACAGAAATACATTGATTGTTAAAAAATCATAAACTTGTCCTTTATATTAAACAGAAACACACTACAGCAACCATGCAAAGGTGTACTCCTCAACACCTGCATTTAAAATTTAATTCAGACCAGGCTGTCAAACATGTTATTTTTCTGATTTTGCATAATAAGATCACTACTTAAATGTTTATAAAAAAATAAAAATGAAAGTGGAAAGAGATACAGATATTTTACCTAATAAACATTTCTTTCATCCTCATTTGTTCAGTGTGGGCTATGCCATCCTATGAAATTTCATTCATTTTCATGCATATTAATTACAGCAAGTTAACCATGAGGCTGGTAGAGCTCTGTATTGGACAATTTAAATCTTCTTGATGGGCCAATAAAGCGAGGGAGGGGAGACAATAGGTTTCCAAGTGCAGAATTGTACTTTGGGGCATGGAAGGGAGTTGCTTAGGAAGCTACATATAGAAAACTACATTACATTACAAGAACTCTAAAATAGCCAAGTTATCTTAATTCTGGCATTATGTATTTGAGCAAGAAGACTGCTGGGTGGGAAAAAAAGATTTCCTTTGTGTTTAAAGAAAGGATTCTAGAGTGTGTCACAGACTGATGCTGGGCAAGACTAACAAAGTCTGTGTAGAAGGGACAAATTGAAGAGCAATCTTCAATCTGGCATTTCCTAGCTTATGAATACTTCACTATGCACTTTGTGTTCTTATCTTAGATTTCTATATGTAATATAATATGCACATATCGCTGGTTTCACACTGGTTCTGCAAAAGCTATCAAAAGATTCTGCTCAGTACGTAGCAGACTAGCTCAAAGCAAGAAAGACTTGCATATATAAATAGGGGGCTGATAAATAGGATTGACGACTTCTATGAAAATTACCTTCAACTGAAGTTAAGAAATTATATTAAATGGTTCTGCAGAGCTACAGCTGTATTATTACAGCTTGCTATTCAGAGAAATGATGGTGGTTCCTTATGTATCTGGTCCTGAAAGAATAAAAGGCTGTTTTTCACAAATCAAAGAAACTGAAGATATTTTATAGTGACTATAAATGGGTTTTATAGTACAGTATTTTGTAAGTTGCCAAGGTGAATAAAGAGAGGGAACACTTTTATTGCTGAATAAAAACTAATATAGAACCAGAATTCTATGCAGTTATGAAAGTTTGTGTAATCTAGGTCTTCACCACACCACCTTAATGGATCATTAGACAATGTACACGCCAATCTGATTGGCTGTGCAACCTGATAAACAGAGACTTTATGCAATACGCAACATGGCACACAATGGCATTCCTTTAGGAAAGTCCATTTAGAGAGTCAACAAAAAACTCCCTGCTCCCATAGAAATTGTCAGTCATATGAACTGTGCATTTGTTTTACTTTATGGAAACACTAAAAACCTATTACAAATATAGTCATTTTAATGCAAGGAATGCTGAATGATAAAATATTACTGTGCTTGGCTAAGCTTTGTCTCTGTTCCTGGAGTAAGTGGACTGAGTAAAAGAGTTGGTATGAAGCACTTAAACAGAACAGAGCTAATAAGAGCCCTTCAGCTCTAATTCTGAATTTATCAAAGAACAATTAAGTGTACAGTCTACAAACAAAGCACATCTTATAAATATTTCCAGAAGTTAGTTAGTTAGTTTGTCCTGAAAGATCTCCGAAACAGTGAGAGCTAGAAACACCAAATTTGGCACGGATACTACTGATTCCCTAACTTAAATAACTGGATTGGTTATATCTCAAAATCGCTTTCCCCACAGCCCCAATTGGGCCACTAATTAGCTTTTAGTAGAGCCTGATCATAGGCATTTGCTGGACTCTTCTGTTAAGCGTGTCACAAACTGCAACTATGAGATCCTTTCCCTATGATAACAGAAAAAATACTAGCTATGTTAATTTCTTAAAGTAATATACAAGAAAAACGTATTTCCAATAACATATGCTATCTTTATGTCATTGACATAGTTCATTCATCACACCTTTTACTATATTTTCCCCAGGTGACGCCAGGTATTTCTCCTAGTTTCTAATATAAGTGACATTCTCTGATCCTAGCACCAAGAGGCAGATCCTAGGGCAACAGTTCTCAAACTTTTTGGCCTGAGGCCCATCGCATTCAACTTTTGGTGGACCAGCAGCCAAACATCCATGATGACAAAATGGGTGCAGGTAAGAGTGGGTGTGCAGTGTATGACTAGGAGGTTGGGTGTAACAGTGGGCTGAGGAGGAGGGGTCTAGGCTGAAATTTGAGTGCAGGAAACAACTGAGAATGAGAGTCTGGAGGAAGGAAGGGTGCAGAGCAGATGGGGGTGCACAGTCTCAGTGGGAAGAGTTGCATGAGGAATATAGGGGTTGCACAAGATGCAGGAGCTTGGTGGGAGGGGTTGCACTGATTCTGGCCAATGTGAGCAGTGGAGAAAGCCTCCAGGGGAGTGGTTTACTGAGCTGCCATTCCCCCAGCTGGGGAGAGGAG